GCTTATTTTCAGCATTTAACAATTGTATTTATTAATATCGTATCACCGGGCTTCTTGGAATATCAAAACATGAGTAAAAACGAGGCACGATAGTGTGAAAACGGAAACAAGAAAAGTGAAAGTAAAATGTACATGAATTGTAACTATAGTTGTTATGATAATTGAAATTTCAATAGAAAGAAGTAGTCGACTTACAAGAAACTCCTAAATTTGGTATTAGGTTTTATATAAAAAGTTTGAAACTTATTAACTAAATTAAAAACAGAATTTTCTAATCAGTAACTTCATTCTTGCTAAAAAATCTAAACTGCTTTAAATTTTATTTGTTGTTAATCCAACTTTTCAGAATCTACTATGTTTGAGCTTAAAATTATTACCAATTAACCGGAATATATCATTATTAATTTTAATTTGTTATAAATAATTATGATCATTTTCCGGTAACTTATCATTTATTTTCCAAACTAACCGTAATTCGGAATACATAATAAAAGCAACATTGACAGAAAATGAGCAAAATTGCCTTCGTTAAATTTTATATTCGTGACCGACATCTCTTTTTCATTATGTATAAATTTTCTACAATTTTTCCTTATGCTATCGATAAATCAAATCCATGATTTTTAAAGCAATTAGGCATGTTCCTAAAATTCTTTCAAGTAAAAATAAGGAAAAACAAGGAGCCGCTGATAGTGAAAAGAAAGTAGCAAAAAATATCATCTTTGGAAACTAAAGAAACAAATTTCTTGAACATAAGTAATACAAGATAAAACAAGTGATTTGTTTTATATCAACAATTTCCCTTACACTGAGTTCATAAATAAGAAATAAAAGCTTTTCTTTCTTATTTTTCTCCCTTCCTTTGATAACAATAGAAATGTTCCAAGCGACCATTTGGATATCGGGCGAAAGCACTGGAAAAAAAGATTACTTAGGACAGAGAATAAAAATATTATAAAAATATGTCATTAAAAAAATTTCGAAATGGAGAACAGTACTAATAGTAAAAACTACAGTAAAGGAACACAAACAGAAAAAAAGAGGTCAATATATACCACAAAGATTATTCTAATATATTTAGAAAAAAACTAACCTACTAATAACGAAAATGCAAAGAGAGTTAAAAAATGAAGGAACTTAAACCGGTTGGTATTATTAAAAGATTGTAGAATAGTTAACCCGTGCTACAGACAGTTTATATGAATAATTGCATAATAAACAGCAGAACTCTGTGGAATGAAAATAAGGACATAAAAATAAAAACTAGTAATTAACTAAAATAGACAATTGTACATCTAACATTGAAATCACAAAACCAGAAAAAAATATAACAAAACCTGTTAGCAATTTTTTTTCCACATGCAGCACATTCAATTTCATAGTCTACAACAAATTTCGTAGAATGTGATACGGCTTTCTGCCGCAGTGCTCGTTTCAACGCTGCATCACACACAGATTTATGAATCATAGTCTGAAAAAAAAATATCTCGATTTATTCTTCAAAAACAAGCTTAATATTGTTAAAAATTAATTTACTGCATTATTATTCATCGCTACAAATTCATTCTGGTAAAAGCACCTTTAATAAAAATTTCTCTACTATTGGTATTCTACCTATTTCGTACGAATTACTGTCATGATAGCAGGCAAACTGATCTGTCCCGATGAATCTAAAACATTCCGAATGAAGCAAGTAATATGTCTTATTTCAATTTAAAAAAAGCAAAAAAGGATTTAGGAAAGGGACAATAGGACTAATAACAAAAAATAAAAAAAGAAAAAGAAGAAGTCTCTCGTCCTTTATTATCCGAAATGATTTCTCCGTTCAAGTACAACTTCTTAGCATATCAAAATGTAATGGATATAAAGAGACTGAGAGCGTTCAGGCTTCCTTACATGTCACAAATTTAACTTCATAGAGATTAAACTCACAAGCTATTATAACCGATATAAAAAATAAAAGTGAACAGTTTTTAGCAATTAATCAAATCGCACGTAAGAGCCAGAGAAATTGCCAAGAATAAAGGGTTAGCCATATAAAATTTTAATATGCTTATCATGACCATATGTAAACCTTAACAAGGATGCACTGATAATATCTGTTGATACCTAATAAATGACTTACAGTATGTTTCTTGTCATGCGCCGTTTGCAGAATAGTAACGAGTCCAGGCCAGACACATTTTAGCGTGTAGTCGAGAGGTAACGAAGTCACCGCTTCTACTGCAAATAAATTTGTTTAGCTTTCAATTAGTGAGACATTTTTTTAATTCATAAAAATTGACAGATCAGAATTACTGGTCATACTAACCTGCATCAAACATATCACTGTGCTCTTTCAGGATCCGAACTGCTTCACTTGGATTCGGTATAGCCTGGCAATGGTCACTCTGCATTAATCCAACAATAGATGTATCCGGTGGATTTGTGTACATTTGAAGCAAAATTAGAAATACCTAAAAAATCACTCGTAAACCTTCATGATTATTATTAGCTTTTAAACATATCCTTTTCACAAAAAGAAATCTATTTTTGAAAAGAGCATTTTTAAATCTTACGGTGATTACCTTGGAATGTTGTGGATCCTCTGGTTCATAACAATCTGTGCAGTATTTCTCAGCTGCTTTGTAATTCTTCAAAATCTGCGTATAAATAGCTAATGCTTGCTGATGCTTTTTCAATCGCCCCAATAATAGTGCTCTTTCTTCATAGAGAGCTGAAAATAGGCACTCCTTAATTTGCTAATAATAACAGTATTTTGTTCTGCCAAAGGTTATTATGACTTTATTTCTTCATAACTAAGGTAAGTGTAAAAAGTATTGAAACCACTTAATAAGCAGTCGAATATCGTTACAATTCAACACAGCTTAAATAACGGAAATCGTACAAATAAAACTTACAATTATGGCGCAATTGAACCAGCAGCTTTTCTGGACTATAAGCAGTAGATGTTTTCAAAAAATGCTGAAGTTTGCATCTATATTCACCAAGTTCGCCCTCTTCTTCTCCAGCTGGTGCGATATGCTCATCTGAAAAAGAGAGGCTTCATTTCTGAAATTTCCACCAAATTCTCTAACATGCACAGTTGCGCAAAGTAAGAAAGCATGTAAAATGATATTACTTATTTTAGAATCAATTTTCAAGTCCAAAATTTCAGCATTCATAATGATCGAGTCACTACCTTCTCCAAGAATATTGATATAGTCCCGTTGTAACTGCTTCACCTTGGAAATGTAATGTTGGCCTAACGATTCGTGAAATTTAGGCAAATCTTCGTTCCATTCATAAATTATATGTTCCTAAATACTTGGATGATTACAAGAAAACTCCAACCAGACCATAAAAATTCCAAAATTTTAAGTCAACCTCAGAAAAAACTAACTAAATATGGAATTACTGCAGCAGTACATTCATGCGTTAAAAAAGTTAAAACTCGTCCTCGATCCAACGAACGAATTTCCGCACTATCGTAAGTGAAAATCTGTAATTCACCAAGATTATGCTTAACAAAATTTAAATTTAATTTCCGCCTTTTGAGAACGCTACTGATATAAAAAGAGTAGAATTAGGAAATTTTAATTCATAAAATCGTTATCTTGAGTCTAAAAATTATGAATAATTGTTAATAGTCTGCTTTGAATCTATATCTTTCACTGGCACAGCAATCGATAATGATTATGTAACCAATTCTATTAAAAGGTTTTTAACTACTATAATACCGAAAAATTTCGTGCAATAACAAGAAAAAGTAACTAAAATAAAATCGAAAAAGGAAAACACGGAATAAACATGAAGAGAGGCGGCGAATGAGCAACTAATTGCAAAGAATTATGGAAGACAACTTTTCAGCACTTATTAGCTGATATTTATTGTTAGGAGAAGTCTTGTACATTTCCAAATTTAGATTTTAATTAAAAAATGCTAAACGAAAAGCTAGAAAAACAACAAATCTAACTTTTGAACATTAAAAAAAAACTTTTCTCAACCACGAGTTTGGAGAAGAATCAATAGATTGTCCATGACTTTATTTATAACTTAAATTTCCTTAAAGAATTTGAATAGATACTTCGATTTCCAAAGAAATTATTGAAAAATATTTAAGTTGAGGTACATACCGAAAGACCAGCACTGAAGTTCTCCTGGAGCACCCAGGCTGCAAACTCGATTATTAGGTCCAAATGTTTGCTTCCCAGTTTCTGCAGATACTCAATGGTCATACTATAGCCTCGCAATGGGCTTCCCTCAATATGAGCTTGTTCCATCAGCAGAGTTAATGCTGCAAATTACCATCTCCATCATTGAGATCGAATAAGCTCTTTCATTTTTAATCTGGATAGCTAGATTGAGACCGATGATTTTTTCGTCCATGATAATGTATAATTGCTTATCTACTATTAACAAAGACTGCATTACTCCAGGAATTAGATTTCCGAGATAAATATTACAAAGAATTTAAAATTCCGTTAAGTAATAAGTGACGAAAAGTTTTCTTTTCCATCTTTTTGAAGTGCTAAGAGAGGGAAGATTTCTCCTTCTCCATTACTAACGAATATGATAAATAATAATTGATGTCATCAATAACAGTTACGATTATTGGATGTTTGGCTTTGTGTTTTTTGAATGACTGTTATAATGGTTCAAAAAAAGCTGATGCAAAAAAAAAAAAACAATCATACCTTTACGATGCAAACCTTTTCTTTCGTATAGTATATACAGTTCATTATATTTTTCGTGTTCTAGTAACACTTTTTCTGAATCGGCCACAATGCACATATTGTCTGGAAGACGTAACAACAAGGCCACTAAGCTTTCATTGGTCTGAAGAAATTTCTACACACTCTTTATATTACCAGATCTAGTCAAGACAGAACAACAAACTCCTAATTTATCGTGCGGAAATATTGTTTTAACTCGCTGGTTAAAATATCGATTATCGTTTCGTTTTAAGCCAATTTACATGAGACAATATTGACTTCTAAGTTGTTTAAAACAAGAATACTTTTAATAACTTTCTACGCCTTAGTTCTCAGTAAATTCTACAAAAGAGTTGGAATCAAATTAAAGCAACTAAATATTTCTAGAGAGCAGAAATATTGCCTATATTGACTTTATTTTAAATATATAAAATCTTGATCTGTAATATGATAACAGACCTGGAGGTAACACTTCAGTAATGTGGTGTCGACTACTTGCAGAACATTTTCGTGATTTTTCAACCGTTCCACGGTATCAATATCCCGCATATGCAGCTGGTAAAGTTTTTTGAGCTCAATAACTGCTTTCGCATGTTCCATACGTACCTAAATGTTGGACAAAAGTGGTAAAGATAACTAACGTAAAAAACAACGAACATAACTAGAAACAGTAGTTGTGGATAAACATACAGAAGCAAGATATGGAGCCAATGACTGCAACCCATTTCGAAATTCATTTTCAGGAAAATCAGGTGGCTGCCCGTCAAGTAAAGATTTCAGTGATTCTTGATAACTGGAATCCAACAGTCGTGGAAAATGAGCTATCACAGTCATCACATCTAAAGAAGTTAGAAATATCTTTGTATAATGCACTTCATGATTTTTAACATCTCTAGGATGAACTACGCTTACATTTCGAACTATTTCGCCCGCTCAGTTTTGACAAAGACTACTGTTGTTAGTTTAGAAGTAAGCACAAAACTCACCGGTTTTGATTTGGGCATGAATTTCCAACCATTCGTCGAATCTTCGTTGACAAAATAAATTGAAAGCTGCTTTGCGTTTGATTTCCATAACGCCCTTATCACCTATTTCATCACATTTATCCTGGAATAATTTGCAAGTATGCGTGAGAAGAATTTTGAAAATACGCCAATTTTATCATGCAAGTCTTTACAGCATTTTAAAGTAAAGAACAGTAAACGTCAAAGAATACATTTAAAAAATAGATTACCGCTAGCTGAATAGCCAATTCGAACTGCTTCTCGCTAACTAACCGTTCCACATTACTTTTCATTTGTGTTCGAGAATCTAAAAGCCACACATCACTGCTACTTCCTACATAAACCGTTCCCCTGAAACGAACGATTAAAACTTCACCAGTAAAATCTCGCATTTCACAAATAAACTTGACATCAACAAGAAAATAAATTTAATTCGTAATTTACTAACCAATAAAAATACATAAAGATCTGACAAACAAAGAACTAATTAAATGCTTAGTCAGAAATTACTTGACTGAAATATGTAATACATGACTGAAAATATGTATAACCTACCTCAAACCAGTTGATATATACATTGCTTTATTAAGTTGTATGGTTTGTATGTGTGTCGCTGGCCTCACTGATCGTATCTCAACTTTCCCTTTTCCTAAGAGTGCCAACAAATATGGAGCGTCATACACTATAAATATCCATTTGAAAGAAACGTTTCCATACTATTCAAGATTTAGACTTCCTTATCCCTATCAAGTATTTTTTTATTGTTTACAAAATTAAGCAGCGTGAGATTAAACGATGTTTCAAAAGAATAGAACAAGCAAATGTACCAATATTAAGAGGAGCTTCTGAGAATTTCACTTCTGATATCGGATTTACAGTTCCATAATATTCTTGAAAGAACAAGAAATTATTACGACAATATGCAATCTGCTTATAATCAGGCAACCCAACAATCACTGGATTTTCTGTTTTCGAACCGACATCAAATAATTTCTTCACATTTACTGCATCTTCCTAAAAACTTTTACAGCACTCAGTTCAACTTCTGCTGTTCGATTCGCGGAATTTTGATTACAAACCAACATTTATAGATGTGTGAATAGACATTCTCTTATATTTAAAAAATTTTGCACTGATTCATACCCTGATCGGAAAGACGGTCATATAATAATATTCGTTTTGTACAGCCACTGATATAATGGGACCACTCCAAATCATATAGTTCACAAAATCAGGAAAAAAAGCTGCAAAATGAAATTAATGTAAAGAAAAATATAAGCTGAATCAATTTTTTTGAAGTATCAAAAATCAAAGGAAAATGAATTACCCAACGACATTTCAAAATCCATTTTAGTAAATTCATCAACAAGCCACTTGTAAAGAAATATTTTCTTCCTTGAACTTACAGCTACATACAATATTCCATCCACCTATAAATTTTTCAGTATGTTTTGTTGAGAAGCATGACATATCGATTATATGTTTACTTTCAAGCAAAATTTACTTGATTCATTTAGTTATACTACATGTTTCATAGCATTCAATAACGTTGATTTCATCTTCTGGAGTTAAGCAAATAATAACACATTCCGAAAACATAATCCACCAGTGAAGTAAGAAATATACCTCTGATATAGTGGCACAGAAAGCTGATATGGGTCGAACATCGGAAATAAGTGCTTTCAGAGCAAATGGATCAGAAAGGTCATGTGCAGAAAGTTGCGAATCACTTAAACACAGCAGTATATCATGCCTTTCAATACAACACAATTCATTTACTGCTTTCTTTTCGAATGATCGGCACATCAAAAGATCATATCCACGCTTGCCTGTAATTCATATATTTATCAGAGAACATTAATCCCTAGATGTTTCAGAAAGTATCCTAATGTGGTTTTTCATTTTTAAAAATTATTGTTCCATTATATAAATTACGCATTACTATAAATAACGTAAATGAATTAGTGTTATACAAACGTTCCATATTTATGTTTCAAAACTGATATCATAGAAAGACAAATAACAAACCACCACGGATTCCATTTAATGCCAACAAATAACCAGCCTTACTTCCAACATAAACTTTAGCAGCGTGACCTGCAGTTTTAATATAACATGTAAATAACATTAAAATGTAAATTGACGATCAAAGTGATAAGGAAGGATATCTGACTGATAATAATTTTTTGTTTTAGCTTTTTCACAGATTGATCTTTCAAGCTTATAATTTAGTTGCCTAAATACAAAAAAGTTTTGCTATAGAAAGCAATAAAATAACCATGAGCAGCCAATGATGCTACATCAATTGACTTCTCCAATCTGGTAGCTATCTCCGTGGGTGTATATGCTTCGAACATCTTTCGTGTTGCAAATTGCTATTCCTTTCCTACTCCTTCCACATATTTGCTACTCCTTTCACATATTGATTTTTTAAGGAATGCAGTAGCAATAACAATCAATCCAAGTAATCCTGAATTTTAACAATTATGAAATTCGTTACCTAATTTGTTAAATATATCGTTTAATGAAAACTTACTACTAATTCGTTAAATGTATCATTTGATCAAAAGTATCAAAAAAATTATGTAACTAGCTAATATTACTGTGTAATTAAGTAATTGATTAATTCATCAATTAGAACAATGGACACACTAAGAAGTCAGTCGAATAACTGAATTATCACACAAACGAATCACTGGATTTATTCAGCAATCAAGTATTTAGATTATCAGTTAATTAAAAATTGAGTTACTCAGTAATCGAGTACCAACCAAAATATTTTGCGTACACAATACATACGTCAAATTAATGCGTACATAATACATACCTCCATACTTACGTCAAATTAATCTCCCTATGCTCAGTTTCTGCGGCCCTTTTAAGATTTCGAAATGAGATTTACGGGCCGCAGCCAATTACGTGAACTTGCTGCGGTATAAATTTGTTGAAATTAGGAAACGTGGATTAGTGCGAGGAATTTATCAAAGATTTTTAGTTATTTACCAAACAGTGGGAAGTATTACGTTTTGAGAAGCTCTACTCACGTATTATATCTTAGTATTTTTGAATATTGACTTCCATCTACTTAAATGTCTAAGTATTATTCTGCTAATGTAACTTGTTAATTTATTACATAATTTCGTTTTTTTTCACATTTGAAATATTATTCCGATATGAATTTGCTATAATAATATATGATTAGAAATTTGATATTCTTTTAACAATATTAATTTGATATTTGTTTAATAAAACTGTTTATTGATTTTTCACATATGCGTCATTTCACCAATTATTCATTTTGTTAAATGATCCAACGATTAACTTCCTTAATAAAATCGATTTATGATGTCATCGAATGATGATCTGACTAATCAGCGAATAATCATAGTAGGTTAATGGGATAAATAAAATGATCAAAGCAAGTATTCAGGCACCATTGAAAAGGACAATTGTAATCTACAAATACATAAGACAATCGTAAAAAATATTGCAGTGAATAATGTTGAATAGCTATCAGTTTTTAAAAATCATTTCAGAAATGGCAGATTCTACACTTCTGAGAGATATAACAATTAAGACAGGTGTTGTGAAACGTTTGGTAAAGGAATTATGTTATTATGAGAAGGAAGAAGAGAAGTTAATGGTCAAATTGCAAACAATGCAAAGTGGTGGTGATGCTGACGAACATATCATTAAGAAACAGACGGAATTGCTTCAGGTAATACTTTGGAATACTTGTAAACTTGTTGCAAACGTTAAGATTTATTGTAATCAGAGAGCTATGGATAATGAAAAAAGTATGACGAAGAAAGGAATTCTTCTAAGATTAAGATTTTTTTTATTCAGGAAACAAAGCAAATGATACCGGAATGTGCTCGACGATTGATGAATTCAATTGAGAGTTTGAAAAAAGTTAGAGTTAAATTTTTTTCAGAACAATATTGTGTGAAAGAGTTTTAGCTGTTTAAAAACTACTTAAGATTTTTAATTTGATATCAATTAATAGCAAATTATTGTTTGGCACGAAAAACCGACATATCGGAGTTATTTTAAAACTGTTTATTATTTATATTTTTGGGCAGACCATTTTATTTTGCTACTTCGTGATATATGTTCTAGGTTATTGATGAGGAAGTTTTTTTTTTTTCCATGTCCATAATGTCAGTAGGGCATTCAGCCACGAAGATTATTGGAAAAATACAACTCATAAATATGAGGTTGTAATTAGATATTTTGAGTATCGTTGGAAATTTTAGTGAATTTTTCAATTTTCTTATTTGAATCTGATTGGCTTGTATTTCAGATAATTGGTGAACATAAAGCGGTATTACAGGATACACCGGAATATATTGCTGCTGCAGAACAAATTAAAACCGGTACAGAAGAATGCATGAAAATCAAGGAAGCGGCACGAATAAATTGAAAATTGATCTTTTTTCTCATCGATACTAGTATGGTGATTTCGATTTTTCACTAATCATAAAGCTGCCAGCTGCAATTATTCACCGTATCATGTAGCTTACTTCGCAACATTCCTTTTTGCATCGGTGTTCGATATTGCCCATTCTCGTGCACGACCTCGAAACACTTTACATTCGGACAGCAATTACTTCAGTTGTTCCTGAATTGATCTCTCTTG